GAAGGCTGTTGAGGAGTCATCAGAGAAACGCATTTCCTCAAGAATGGAGAAGTGTTGATTATGACTTTAAGAATTCGCGATGAACACTGGTAGTGCATGATGCGAAATAATGTGAGCGAATCTTAAAGTTGGACATAGCTCAGTCACATTTAATTTAATAGTACCTGGAGGTATTTTTTTTTTGGTAAATCGTGTATTTTGGAAATTACATTTAGATACAAATTACTGAGTAATGAAATATGCATAATATTTTTCGATCTTACCGACGTAATAATAAGAAAATATGAACTGGTGTTTTTCACAAAAGGAAGAATTTAAAAAAAAAGGAAAAAAATAACAAAATAACAAATCGACAAAAAATAAAAATAAAGTAAGCAATGATCTGGAATCGAAAAAAAAGTAAAAAAAATAAGTGTGTAAATGATCGTGATACGAACCGCGGCCGTCTGTTTTGGGGCCGCCCGATTACCGACCGAGCTATTATAACAATTTTTTTGCGGCGAAATTTACCGTTATATTCGAATGATATTAAAACAGGGATAAAAGAACATTTTCTAAAAACGAGACCTAGCTAGATCGATTTTTCGCCCTCGAATCTACGCACATACTAAATTTCATGAAAATCGCTGGAGCCGTTTCCGAGATTCCAATTATATATATATATACAAGAATTGCTCGTTTAAAGGATAAGAGATATTCTAGCAACCTGAGTTCGATCCCCGTTGCCGGCACCTATGAAATTGTTAATGTTAAATGCAGACTTATAAGGTGCGGTGAAGGTAAACATCCTAAGGAAACCTGCATATTTTCGAAGTAATAACAAAAAAAATATTTCGAAGATATGTGAAGTCCGTCAAACCGCAGTAGGGCCGCGTGTTAGACTGGGCCCTAATACCAGGAGTGGGACGGGTATAGGCTGTTACTTTCCTTTCTTTTACCTCTACGAGGTCCCAGCGGTTTTGTAGACCTAGCATGCCATGAGAGGTATACTAGGTTTATCAAAACACGTGATGTGATGCGATGCCTTATATTATCGAAAAAACATTATACGCTGCAAAGGTGTACAGTTATATATTCTATCGATAATAGTAACAGTCCTATTACGCTCACCTGAATGCAATCCCCGTCGACGTTTACAATTACAAGCTTGGACTGTGTACCATTTTTTCCCGTTGCGCGCTTCCATTTTTGGCTCTCGGCTCCATTGTTAGTGGGGATTTTTTGTGGTGCCGAGGATACATAATGATTTACTAGCACGTATCGTGTGTAAGAGACATAATTTGCTTACGCGTACAACTTTAAAAGAGATGGAGTAACGTCTGGTATAAAATTCAATTTGCTAGTTCCATCCCCATAATCGGCGGTGTCACGCGGACAGACAGACTGACAATAGATTAATCTTATAAAGGTTCCTTTTTTTACCTTTTAACATAACACAAAGATATATTAATTAACCACGGCACCAATCCTTTAATAGTTGAATAATAAACTAATCAAAATTGGTTAAATGCTTTAGAACCTTTTCCATTCTATAAGTAAAAATAAATGGTCATAAGAAAGCACTTCATGTAATTTATTCTATGAAGTGGCTCGCTGGGCGTATGTAAATATTGAGGCTATTGAGACCATACTTGGACCCCGTTGTAATGAAGCGTTAAGTAACGCAGCTGTCATTTCTGACGTTGTCAATCAAAGTAAGAAATGACAGGAACTAAGTACTGCATAATGACGTATCGGGGCACCGACATAGTTGAGGCATCATGAAAAAACAATCAAAACGAAGTTTATAATTAAAATCGGAACTAAATTCGTTACATATTTAAGTCGGTTAATTGTGATGTCGAGGCCAAGATTAATTTGTGTCAAATATACTGTGTTCGTCAATTAATCGTTGCCTTTGACATAGTATTCCACAAGATATATAATCTGTATTAATTCTCTCTTTGTTATCTTTAGTATAACATCTCAAATGTTGTTTAAAGAAACTTATTAGTGGTACTGTAATATACACTATAATTATATAAAAATAATCTTAGATGTAAATGGAGACAGTTGGAGGTGGACTATACCCGAATTTCGGCCACAATAAATTGTGGCCGAAATTCACTATTATCACTTTATTATTCACTATTTTTTTATATTCACTATTATTCATTAATTATTTATTTTATTTTTATTTATTTAAACTTTTACACAAAAAAAAATAGTATTGTGTATAGGCGGACTTAATGCCTAAGGCATTCTCTACCAGTCAACCTATGGGCGACGCAGAGACAAAAGAGGCAAATTATCACTATTTTAATACATTTTTCTTTTGAATTTATGGTTACTACTATAAACTTAACTGTATTAATGTTATAAGGATATCTATATACCTATAAATACCAACGAACAACTCTTTATATAATAATTATATAATCTGTATTTCGGAAACGGCTCCAAAGATTTTTATAAAAAAGTTTGTGAATTTTTCGGGGGTGATAAATCGATCTAGCTAGATTTCATTTTTAAGAAAACGTCTTTTATCCGTTTTGTCAAGCAATGAAAAACTTTTTTTTTTATGCGAAAAGTTGTCAAACGAGCAGACGGTTCACTTGATGTTAAGTGAATACCGCCGCCCATAGATATCTGTTACCCCCGAGGGTTGCAGATGCGTTGACAACCTTTTGAAAATTGGGCTCCGGCCACCTCACTCACCACTGACGAAACGCGAAAGTATTACTTCCACTTTACGCCGGTCTTCTGTGAGGTCGTGGTACTTACCCGGACGGCCTGCCTATTCGTGCAACAGGCCGAGTCCGAGGCTGCTGCGTGGCACTACCACCAAACATAAAACTGCTACAATATCATTAGAATACGAAGGTATATTTCGCCACCATCTAAAAGGTTGTAATAGCTCAGTTTGGAAATCGGGCTGTCCCGAAACCAGAAGACCCCGGTTCGAGTCCAGATGATTTTTTTATTTTTTTCCCTTTTTATCAAGATTCCAGCTATTTATTCTTTATATTTATAATACTCATTCAATTTGCTTTATATGTTATAGTTACCCACACACACGCCTGCGCCTTATGCCTAAATGTATTAGATATTCTATAAATTTTGAATAGACACGAAAACCATTAAACTTTGGCAGGGCCACGCTGCAGCTACTGATGTTGAACAGGTGACAGGCTCGTCCGGCAAAGTACCAAGGTATCTTAGTAGGTGTGAAGTGGTAGTGATATATTTTTGCCTTTAAATGTAAGCAAAACCAACAAACCCACAGGTATCCATAGGTGTTAGTATATGTATATATATATATATATATAAGATATTTCCATCGATAATTGACTCATCGCGATATCTCTGGAACCATAAGGCATACAGACTTGAAATTTGGTAGGAATATTCCTTTCGCCGAGTAGAGGGCGGATTTTACGAAATTCCTCAAAACAACGTTTGCCGGATCAGCCAGTATAGTATAGTCTTGTAAGACGAAAAAACAAATTACATTGAGTTTCTAACTTTATAATTTTACAGCGCTTAGATCACTATCGTAAACATCGCTCAGAATATCCACTTAGCAGTCAAAAGGAGCACCGTTCAGCGTTTAGTATGCATTAGCTATTGATTGTTCCTGCTTATAATATGCTGGGGGAATGTGGTAATTGCCAAACCACGTGCCACTGATCGCCGATGTGACGATTTCGATGAGATCACGCCACGTGCATACATTACTGCTTCTATATTCACAAACATTAGCGGAAAAACGTGAATAACATCGAAAGTCTACTATATTTCCGCTCTGCTAATTTCCTTACGACGAAGGATTTTCATGTTCACGATATTATCTTTGTGGACTTAAATGTTTATGAATTTAGAGAAGCTCATTATGATAACAACTGCTTCGAAAATTCTACTTCTAACTGTCTTACGAAGCTGCAAATGCAAATTTTTCTTCTCGTAGTAAACTCGCTTGGAAGTTATTATACGGAAGTGAACTAAGCTCTCGAGATCATGTTGGTGTAGTGTCCGCTACGTCTACTTGCGATTCAAAGGTTCGATGCGAATCATAGTTGACATATGTGCTTTCGTGTTTTAGATTTATAGTTCTTTTAAGAGTCCAAAAAATTTATTTCACTTTTTGATACATTCAATTATGTAGCAAACAATACACATTTAAAATCATTATTTCACTTATTACATCGACATCAAAAATATTAAGTTGGGTTTATTACACAGTCATATATTTGGCCATCGGATTGGAAGAGGAATCCATCGTAGTCAATAAGGAACAAATCATTTCTTGCTGTGAAACCGCTCATAGGAGCATTTTAATAACTCTATTGTCGTTGAGCTGTGATTCGTTGATCTATTGGTTGATTGACCGTGAAAATGGCTTAGCTACGGCTGTGAGCGACGCTTTGGTCTTTAACAAAGGGGCTAACGTGTGACGCACTAGTATTTAGCGAGCGCGTGATGAGGAGTTTTTTAATCAGCACTTAGATGCTGCAAAAGCATGTATACTTGATGACGTTATCTATGCATCTGATGCACACGTAGCCGACATTTAAACGTCTGGGTACATTAAAGAAGGTTACAGAGCAGTTAACGAGAAATGGATGTGCGTAATGATAATTGACGCATAATAGATTAGAGCCATCGAACGACGGTCTTGTCTCTCTTTTAACGCTTTGTGTTCACAAGAGAAGTTCTTCTCTGTGATAGTATAGGCAATTAGACATTAAAAATCTGAAGACTTTCATGGTGATTAATAAGAACTGATGAATATCATCCGCAGATGCTTCTGTTACTATTTTTTTTACCTTAAGCCAATAGGGCTTATTACCAGCAGGTCCCCAGCTGCACCACCAGATGTACTCGTCTTCTACTCCACTTCCTCTCTCAACTCCGATAGATGAGTTACGTATCTTTAAATTATTAACTTAATATTTATTCAACCCGTCAGGATATCCTTTATCGTTGTGCTGCTAAATTTAAAGGAGCATTTATGAATTTCACTGCATCGCACCAAGATTTGAACTGGGGTCCTTCAATTGCGTGGCAATGGCGGGGTGTAAGTGCCTTCGGTGTAATGTCGGCTTATGAATTTTAACATCTAATCCGTGTTTATCGTTTTCACGAATCCGCCGCATCGGGTCGTAAACCGATGCGTTCGCGTGACTGCGTGCTCGCTCGTCAGCATGTGTGCGGGCGTGCGTCCACGCCAGGCATACTAATGCCGATGCCGGATCGAGGGCGATTATTTCGCGCAGCGACACCTCTGTGGCTTTATAAGACACCGTCATTAATGCCTTGTAGTCATTTATGTTTGCCATTTATTTGTGCGTTAGTCATTCACGTTACAATGTTTCGCGTACGGCCGGAGGCAATTGGCGTGGAATATTAATTTCATCGTTTGGACCGATCGTTAGACTGGGATGATAATTGTCTCGGGCATTTCATTACGTTCCGCCTTCTCCGTTATCATGTTGTAGATGTGATCATACAACATGATCAGCCGGTTGGCGTAGTTGCAAACATTATTTTTCAGCAACTCGGATAGTTTTTTTGATTCCAAATCAGAACAAGTACTTTTATAACTAAGTCATACATGAAATTCCCGATTTCCCGAAAGTCCCGATTTACACAGAATCTATCTAATCAAGTTTTAAAATTTGGCGTAAAAGCATCTTCTTTGTTGCTTTAATCCCACTAAGTTCCCAATAAGCTCTCGGGTATCCGCCGTGGTCGTAAACAAACTTGATAGCATTGTTTATTAGAGGACCGCGTTTGCATTAAGCGTCGTCTTGGCGTTTAAAACCGACGCGCGGTGCAGCCTCACCGTCGCAATTAAGGCCCTCTCGAGGCAGACTGACCGTCGATGTAATTGCGTTTAAATTGTTACAAATATCCACGAACTCGCCAACTTCTAGACCTAATCGTTTCGGTAATTAAAGCGGCTCTCTAATGACAACGACAGCGCTCGCCTGAAGGCGTTTTAACGATGGAAAATAAAACTGAAATCGGCCACGTCGACTAAGCGATCTTCATTCAAAGATCTCGAGCAAATAAGAAGGTAGCTGGTGTACAAGCTAAAGGCTTTTTATCATGGCACGTTCTTATTTCACTTCACTACCATCTGTCATGTCAGGTTGACTGATGACATACAAATTTTACCATGTTATGCTCCGTTCGGGCAATTTGTTTTCCCTTTTTTAATCTATCGTACTTTAACATCTTTGAGTAAATGTGAAGGGGTAGATGGCGTATCGTTTCATTACAATTTTCCGACACAAACTGGTTGCGGTTGAATGCAGCTGCATTTATATATCTTAAAAATGTATCTGTACTCTTCTGTAATTCTTATCATCGATAACCTAGCATGTATAAGGTATATTTTAACTTATATAAAATCAAGACTTTCTTCAATTACTTTTAATGAGAGAAGGTAGTAAGATATCAGTTAGATTTCAAGTTTCATTACCGAATCAATGGGCGTCAACGACATCCATTGTTGCTCTTGCATCTTCTATCTTTAAGTGGTCGTCTCTTTTCAAACAAAAAAGTGTAAATACTTCGAGTTATTCTCAGTTTCTCATTCACTTTCTCAGGCTCTTTCATGCAACAGCAGAATGTGTCGAGTCGGAAGAAGCTACTGCAATAAGGAAGTGTAAATGAGCAATAGTAGTTAATACTTTTCCATTGCGCCTCACAAGTGAAATGTCGAATTAAGTACGTCCTTAATTAATTAGTAGGTACCGTAAAATGAATCCCCAAATACGTTGTCGCCCATTGACACCGACGGGGACATTTTGCAACCCTAAACATGGGCGACTATTACCACGTCGAGCCGTTTTCTTCCTAATTGAGCCCTCATATTACGGTGCAGTGTTGTGCCGCGCGTAAAAGTTCACCTCGCGTGAGTGACAGCGAGTCGGTTGCCGAGTAAACACGGCAAACAGGCCCCGGGCACCGCGTGGGTGACTAACGCGCTCCGACATTGCATAAGGGCGGTTATCAATCACGGCGGAGGCTGGAATGCAACTGATAACGGGCGCATCTGGCGTCTCGGATCGAGTGTCGGCAGCTTTTGAGCTAATTAGCTAAGCGATAACCATTCCGCTAACAGCTTTGGACCCCCTTAGCTGGAGCTGTATGCTCATGTATATTAGTTATATATATATATATATATATATATATATATATATATGCGGAATGTTTCAAGACTTTTATTTAGGCTGGTGTTAATTTGTTTAACACTTCTAAATTGTCAGGATGACTGGCGCAGTTGCTAAGGTACTGGATTCGACACCGGGGGTCGGGTTCGATTCCTACACGGAACAATTGTTTCGGATTTGTGTGACCCACAAGTATTTGTTTCGGATATGGGTGTTTGTCCACGTGAAATTTATATATGTAAAAATACCGTACAACACAGTATAGTGTCATTCTAACGGTAGGACAATAGTTTAATGTATGGAATTAAGAAACTTTTAATTTAATTTTAATAAGGATAATAATAGTAGGGGAAACTAAAGATCAATTAACGGTAAAAAGGCGAATGTGTACTAATGCGCAGATTTAGTGGTTGATTTCGACCTAGTTATACTTGCGATCTTAACTTCAAAAGTAGTTGGTTCTAATCTTACTAATTCTCGATTCATTACGTGCTAATGTTGTCTCGTTTCATGGCCTAATAAGCTGGTGTGACTAGAATAGCTTTAGTTATGTTTATTTGGCATGAAAGAATTTGGAGTTTGTAAGCTTCTTAAAGGAATACAATTCTGTAATTCTTCGTAAGAACTCTAACAAAATTTTACGATACTCACGTTTATCAAAAACTTAAGTTTCGTCATTGCGTGTAAAAGTGACGACAACCCGAAAAATTATTGTTTCGGCAAATAATTCTCGAAAGGTAGCCGCGCTGCAGTGTTTTTTATTTATCAAGAGGTCATTAGCCCGTGCCATAAGATAAGAACTTTTTGTGGAGTAATTATGAAATGCGGGCTAGGTGAAATACATTTTTAATTTAACGCGACCAACCTTTAACCGGAACTGGAACGAGTTTTTATAACACTATTATTATAATATTAAGAAGAGTGTCAAATTGAATATAGGTATACAGTTTAATATATTAAGAACTGTAAAGCATAAAAACGTTGGTCGTTGCGTTTGAAACGTTTAGTTCTAATGTTGGGAAATGTTGTCAGAGGAAATATTCGTGATTATCATGATTGTTTCCTAGCATTTGTTTCTTGATAATAATATCGCAAAACGAGAAAAAAAAACTGCGTGTGCGATGTTGAATCTACCGTAAATGAAAATTAAAAAGAGTACTTTATGAAGATGATTGACTAAGTCACTATGATATTAAAAGCGTAACTCAACCACGAAGGCTGACGTATAAACTAATGTTCTCTTTAATTACTAGGGAATAAATACCATTCAAATCACTACATATTTGTGCCGGGGAGGTATATACTTCCTTATTATACAGCTAATATAATCGATTCTTAGTAACTTTCAATGAATTTTTGGTATATTAATGAAATTATGTATTAATACTTTTATACATTATCTATCCCCTACCGAGGCATAAAACGTGTCACGCAATTATAGAAGGATAAAAAATATACAAGCATGTATATATATAGTAGTTGCTTTAAAACACATCTTCTGGTTATAAGGTCTAATTGTGGTTGTCTTTTACTCGCATATAAAATCCAATTTATGGAATAATAAACAAATGAGCTCTGTAGGCTGGGATAGAAGTTTTAAGACCGAAACATATCAGGTGTGTAACTTGCCGTCTTATCGGTCAATCGGCTTACAAAAAGTCGTTACAAAAAGTCTTAGGTTTCTAAACCTTACATAATATGTCCAGGCTGTGGCTAAGCCGACATCTTCATCTATGTACCAATTAAATTGATATTATTAAAGAGAAGGTACAAGAAAGCGGCTGATGATAAGCGGTCTCCACCGCATTTGGTCGTCAATATTTGAGGAGTTTTGAAGAAGCAAAGGCAAAGCAAAGGCTCCTTTTATCTGATTGGTAAAGACCAATATGTTTTCAGATCGCTTGCGTTTCGAATACATGAAACTAAACTAGTCTTGGTAAGACTAGATTAGTTCCATGTGTTGTTGAAGATTTTTGTACGTTATTTATCTTTTTCTGTCGCCTTCCTTTGAACTTCATAACAACACTAGTAATAGGAAAATTATAAGGGAGATATTTTGAGATTGAAAAATGGAAATGAATAAGGTGAAACGTAAAATTGAAAACTGCTTTTTATTGTCGACGATACGGTGTAATAAATTCTGTTACTCTTCTTCAATAGTGCCTAACTATGAATAAGATTCCATACGTGCCTTGGACTGAGAAGAAAGGGGTGTGACGAAATACAGTCCATGACAAAACAGTTAGATAAAATTAAGGCCGTAATATTTTCTCCATTTGTTTCGTGTTTTAAATACTTGGTATAGCTATGATATTGGATTTACCGTCGTGAACGAATTTGACATTAGAAACCTAATAATGTCGATTGGTATTAATGTAAGGTTATATTCATTTTCATCGGTGTTCAGCGAAGGTAACGTATACAAAAGTTAATATGTCTAAGAAAAGTTATATGGGTCGTTGTTCTGAATAAGAAGTTTATCAGTACAGAACTGTTTGACATCAATTGCTTCTAATGAGCCAAGATCATAAACAGGAATAAACGAGCGCTTAAATAAGTAATAATTTACTCGGGGAGAAGAAGAATGGTATGTGTGATCTTAAATTATTCTTTTAGGGGCCCATTGGCTAAATAAAAAGCAAAATTTAACTACGCTAAATCCAAAGATACAAATACTTGCGTAGATAATAAATTTTGTACCTATGGTTAGTAGATGGATGATGCTCTTTTTTAAACCAAAAACCGCCCAGGGCTTGACTGCCATCACACCTGCGGGTAAGTAAAAAGTAATCTTAGTAGATAAAGACACTCTTTCAGTTTAATTCTATTTACTTTAGCCTTGAAGAAACTCGCATTATAATACATTATTATCAAAAGGGAAAAATGTTGCTGGTAAACTGTTCCACACCCTTACTCTACGCATTACGAAAGAAGAGACTGCTTGGTTCAAAGGTGTGAAATCTTCAATTAAATAGTTGTTCATTTAATAGTCCTCATCTACTATTTATTTAATCTCTCTTTCACCAGATATACTTATCTGGTGAAAAAGTACATAGAGAGCTATATAGCTCAAATTTACTTATCACATAGATGGTTAACGGACAATTTGAGTGACACCCTTATCCTTCCGCTTTCTTCATCACTTTTTGCTATGGTTT